GGGTGTGCATGTGCATGCCTGTGTGCTTGCATATGGGGTATGTGGGTGTGCGTGCATGTGTGCATGTGTGTGCGTGTGTGCATGTATGTGCGTGCATGTGTGCATGTGTGTGTGCATGTATGTGCGTGCATGTGTGCATGTGTGTGCGTATGTGCGCCTGGGGTGTGTGTGCACGTGCGTGTGCGTGTGGGTATGTGTGTGTGTGCACGTGGGTGTGTGTGCACGTGGGTGTGCGTGTGGGTATGTGTGTGTGTGCACCTGGGGTGTGTGTGCACGTGGGTGTGTGTGCACGTGGGTGTGCATGTGTGTGCGTGTGTGTGCACCTGGGGTGTGTGTGCACGTGGGTGTGTGTGCACGTGGGTGTGCGTGTGGGTATGCGTGTGTGTGCACCTGTAACCCAGGAGGAGCGCCAGCCGGTGCGGCTGTGGACGCAGCTCCCTCCAGGTGGCTCCGCGGCAGGCAGGCCGAGGCGGGAGGACTCCCTGCCACGGAGACCCTGGCGCGTCCTGTCCAGAGTCGGCACGTGGCGCGCTGCCGGGGCGCGGTTCCCGCAGGGCAGAGTCAGGCTCGGGCAGGCAGCGGCGCCGTGGGTATTGAGGTACAAATAGCTCCGTCCTACCCACCAATCGATTCTCCCCAGAATGTCCTCAGAGAGGCCGGCCTCGAACCTCTGGGTCGCGTCCGCAGCAAATGTAGCTGCCCTCTCTCCGGACGGCGCCTTCGCCCTCTCGGTTCACTCCGCGTCGCCGCACATCGCGGTCTCGGCTGGGCCACTCTCGGAGCCGGGCGCCCGCGGCCTGGAAGTAGCTGGGAGCAGCGGCCGGGCGCCCGCGGCCGGGCAGGCTCCTCCAGGCAGGACTCCAGCTTTTGTTTCCCCAGGGACTGATGTGCCGACCTGCACGGCTGTGAGCAGTTTCAGACTCCCGTCCCTGCCCCCTTTGGTGGCAGCTTGAGGCCACCACACCCACGTAGGGCACCGGGAAAGTGTGCTGTGCAGGGTGGGGCCCGTCTCTAATCTGCCAAGGGACCGGGCTTTGCAGCAGCCTCAGGTGGGCTCCCCAGTTGGGGAGGAGCCGCGTGAGCTGGGGACGCCCAAAGCTTCAGGAATGTGTACAGCACGGCCGAGGGCCGGCGTGGCCCCCAGGCGGTGATAGTGGACTTCGCTCCACTCGAAATTCGGAATCCGTGTGCTTCTCTGAGCTGCCGAATATCTGGCGATGAGAATTTTGGATTGTTGGTTGAAAGGTTGAGTTTTCATTTGATTGTTTGGCATGGTGCATCTGTAGCCTCAGAACACAACTTTTATTTTCTGCGGGTGGTTTTTGGCTCTGTTTTGATAACACGGTCAGCAAAGACAGTGAGGGGCAGGCGCATTCTGTTCATTCCTTCTGGGGGCCGTGCATCTTGTAGACACAGGAGGGAAGTTCTGCGCACAGTCTCAAGCTGTCAACCTCATCCTGGCCGAGCACTCGCGGTGTGCCTCGCGGCGGTCTCCAGCCAAACCCGGCAAAAGAGTGAGGAGGATCTAGACTCGTGCAAAGTTAGAGCTAGAATAAGTTACCTACGGGGTACAGTGTGCTCTGCTTGGGTGATGGGGTCCCCACAGCCCAGACGCCATCACTACACAATATATATGTAATGGAATCCATAAATCTGGTAAAATTTTTTTGCGTAGAGACTTTTTGTTTTTCTTTCTTTTTTTTTTTTTTGAGACAGTCTCACTTTGTTGCCCAGGCTAGAGTGAGTGGGGATGGCACCTAGCCTCGCTCAAACTCCTGGGCTCAAGCGATCCTGCTGCCTCAGCCCGAGTAGCTGGGACTACAGCATAGCGCCACCACCGCCCGGCAATTTTTCTAATATATTATTTGGCCGATTCATTTTATTTCATTTATAGTAGAGACGGGGTCTCGCTCTTGCTCAGGCTGTTTTTCCAACTCCTGACCCTGGAGCGATCCGCCCACCTCAGCCTCCCAGATGCTAGGATGACAGGCGTGAGCCCCCG